CTTGGCTCTGGTGAATGCAGTGGGTTTCGACCTGGCTGTGGTGCACCGAGGCTTGGTTCTGGTGAATGAACTTGTGATGCATCAGTTCTTGGTTCTGGTGAGTGTGAAGGACTTCGATCTGGCTGTAGTGCACCTATACTTGGTTCTGGTGAATGCGGTGGGCTGCGATCTGGTCGTAGTGCACCGAGGCTTGGTTCTGGTGAGTGCAGTGGGCTTCGATCTGGCTGTGAAGCACCAATGTTTGACTCTGGTAAATGCAACAGATTTCGATCTGACTGTAGTGCACCGGGACTTAGTTCTGGTGAATGTGAGGGACTTCGATCTGGCTGTGGTACACCGATACTTGACTGTGGTAAGTGCGATGGACTTAGATCTGGTTGTGGTGCACTCTGGCTTGGCTCTGGTGATTGCAGTGGGCTTCGACCTGGCTGTGGCGCACCGAGGCTTGGTTCTGGTGAATGAGGTTGTGATGTACCAGTTTTTGGTTCTGGTGAGTGCGACGGACTTCGATTTGGCTGTGGTGCGACGATACTTGGTTCTGGTGAATGCGGTGGGCTGCGATCTGGTCGTGGTGCACCGAGACTTGGTTCTGGTGAGTGTGGTGGACTTCGATCTGGCTGTGGCGCACCGATGCTTGTTTCTGATGAATGAGGTTGTGATGCACCAGTTCTTATTTCTAGTGATTGCGATGAAGTGCGGTCTGGCTGTGGTGCAACGAGGCTTGGTTCTGGTGAATGCGGGGAGCTTCGACCTGGCTGTGGTACACTGAGGCTTGGTTCTAGTGATTGCGGTGGAATTCGATCTAGCTGTGGTGCACTGTGGCTTGGCTCTGGTGAATGCAGTGGGCTTCGAGCTGGCTGTGGCGCACCGATGCTTGATTCTGGTGAATGAGGTTGTGATGCACCAGTTCTTGGTTCTGGTGAGTGCGATGGACTTCGATCTGGCTTTGGTGCACCGAGGTTTGCTTGCGGTGATTGTGGCGGACTGTCTGGTGGTGACTCACTGATCACTGTTTCTTGTAACTGCGGTGGACTTTCGCCTGATTGTGGGGCATCGACAGGTGAACGCGGCGTACTTCGATCTGGCTGTTGTTCACTTCCGCTTGGCTGTCGTGAATATATTGGAATTTCAGCAGTTTTTGGTGGGCTGATGCTTGGTTCTTCTGACTGCGCTGGAAATGGGTTTGGTTCAGGCACACCAGCACTTAAATGTGCTGCATGTGGTGGTGGCGGCGACGCATCGTTTCCCGATTCCGGTGATGACTGTGGACGATGAGAGCGATGACTTGCGTAGTTCGCTTGCCGCGGGAAAGTCGAGGTGCAGCTCTGAAAAAAATTATTTTTTTTTGTAAGCTAGCTAAAAGATGATCATTTTTTATGCGTTTTTGCATTTATGTAAATTGCAAAAACGCATATTGGGAAGAGGCTGTCTG